ATAATAATTGGAAGGGACCTTGGAGGTCTTCTAGTTCAACCCCCTGCTCAGGCAGGAAACTCTACAGGCCTACACCATTTCGGACAAATGGCTGTCCAGTCTCTTCTTAAAAACTTCCGGTGTTGGAGCATCCACCGCTTCTGGAGGCAAGGAGTTCCACTGGTTAATTGTTCTCACTGTCAGGAAGTTTCTCCTTAGTTCTAGGTTGCTTCTCTCCTTCATTAGTTTCCATCCGTTGCTTCTTGTCCTGCCTTCAGGTGCTTTGGAGAATAGCTTGACCCCCTTTTCTTTGGGGCAGCTCCTTAGAGATTGGAACAAATCTGGTCCTTATACGATTTCAGACAAATGGCTGTCCAGTCTCTTCTTAAAAACTTCCAGTGTTGGAGCATTCACCGCTTCTGGAGGCAGGTTGTTCCGCTGGTTAATTGTTCTAACTGTCAGGAAGTTTCTCCTTAGTTCTAGGTTGCTTCTCTCCTTGCTTAGCTTCCATCCGTTGCTTCTCGTCCTGCCTTCAGGTACTTTGGAGAATATCACCCTGAAAGCTTGAAGGATCAATTTAGCGGCTTAAGGGCCAGTTTTCTCCACAGGTTAATTACCTTTAGCTCCGGCAGATGACCACATAGCCAGCCGAACAGAAGTCAAAGTCGGAATAGAGGATCTTTGTAGTATGTATTTTATCTGTTTAGAATGAACGGGCTTTTCTCCAAAGGGAGAACGGTATCAGAAGGAGGTTAATAAGAAGAGGTAATCAAAATAAGGTTAATAACCAAGCAAGCGAGAATAGGTTGCATAATACCTCAAATTATGTAAATACATTTCCTTCTCCAGAGTGACAATATACTGTATATATATAGAATTCTATACATATATAGAATAGAATAGAATAGATTAGAATAAAGTTGGAAGGGACCTTGGAGGTCATCTAGTCCAACTCCCTGCTCAGACAGGAAACTCTATACCATTTCAGACAAATGGCTGTCCAGTCTCTTCTTAAAAACTTCCAGTGTTGGAGCATTCACAACTTCTGGAGGCAGATTGTTCCATTGGTTAATTGTTCTAACTGTCAGGAAATTTCTCCTTATATTCTAGGTTGCTTCTCTCCTTGGTTAGTTTCCATCCGTTGCTTCTTGTGCTGCCTTCAGGCACTCTGGAGAATAGTTTGTGGTAGCCCCTGAGATACTGGAAGACTGCTATCCTGTCCCCCCTCGTCCTTCTCTTCCTTAAACTAGACATACCCAATCCCAGCAGCCGTTCCTTATGTATGTTTTAGCCTCCAGTCCCCTGATCATCTTTGTTGCTCTTCTCTGCACTCTTTCTAGAGTCTCAACCTCTTTTTTACATCATGGTGACCAATGTAAAAATGTCTTCAAGAAAAAACATAGAAAGTCCAGCTGCCTTTTTGAAAAAGCACCATTGGGACAAACCATGACCTGGATGGCTGAGAATCTCCATAGACATGTCTTCTGTACTCTGCATTTATTTGTATTTATACAACGTCATTGGCCACCTAACTTGTACCGTATAGAGTAATTTTGGGCGACTCGTGGCACAACCAATAAACACAACGCGTCAATAAAAGAGAATATAATGAACCAAGCACAGGGAGAATCAAGGACCATGTCACCCATATGTAAGGGATTCTGGAGAAATTGAAACACAGCAATGTATTGCAATTATTCTATGTTCCCTTTATAATTTTCAGAGGGAAGTCTGTGAGAATTCTATTTTGCTCCCTTACCTGGCACAACCGATAGGTTTTATACTGTCAGACATGAGATATTCCACCGCCCACGACTGCCAGATTTTGTGTCAGTACAATAAAAAAAAAATGATGCACACAAAGCCAAAGCTTGCCTTGCCGATGTAACCCTTTTTTAATTTTGCCGATTATTGATTGCAAATTAAAAAAACACACGCATTCGTTCCATCTTTTGCTATCAGCCAGTTCTTTTCTTCACCTTTCATCTAATCTTCCATCAACATGCTGGAAGAAAATTGTCCAGGACATGTTACTCTTATGCAGAGTGGACCTCTGTAACTAACGATTCTTGAGATTTTGTGCAAGAGGTGACAATCTGGATGATGGTAAACGTAGAATATAGAATAGAGTAGAGCTGGAAGGGACCTTGGAGGTCTTCTAGTCCAGCCCCCTGCTCAAGCAGGAGAACCTACACCATCTCAGACAGGTGAATGTCTAGCCTCTTCTTAAAAATCTCCAGTGATGGAGTGCCCACGATTTCTGGAGGCAAGCTGTTCTACTGGTTGATTGTCCTCACTGTCAGGAAGCTTCTCCTTAATTCCAGGTTGCTTCTCTCTTTGATCAGCTTCCAACCATTGTTTCTCATCCTTCCCTCTGGTGCTCTAGTGAATAACGTGACCCTCTCTTCTTTGTGGCAGCCCCTCAAATACTGGAAGACTGCTATCATGTCTCCCCTATTTCTTCTTTTCTTTAGACTAACCAAACCCAAGTCCCGCAGCCGTCCTTCGTATGTTTTGGTCTCCAGGCCTTTGATCATCTTAGTTGCTCTTCTCTGATTTTTTTCCCCAAACTCTCAACATCTTTTTTATGATATGGTGACCAAAATTGGACATGTTGGATCTCTGAGCCATTTGGCAACATTCTTCAGTTTGGCCTCCATCCAAATCCTTTGATGATGATTATGATCTACCATGGCTTTGACCTATGTAGATTATTGTTTCAACTGGGTGAATGTTAAAGAATACAGGCCTAGTCACAATAACACATAACATCACATTCGGAGTTTCTAGCAAGTATCCCTTGATTCTCTGTCTGTCTGTCTGTCTGTCTCTCTCTCTCTGTCTCTCTATCTATCTATCATCTATCCTTCAATCTGTCTATCTATCTATCATCCATCCATCCATCCATCCATCCATCCATCCATCCATCCATC